TTTGAAAAATTCTCAAAAATCACAGCAAATTCCTGTTAAACTGAAATTTTGCGCCTTTACTAATGCGCGGCTGTTTTACAAAATCCAAAATGTATTTTTCTTTCAAAATGTATTATTATTTGGAGTATTGTAATACTCCAAATATATGTAGCAACAACGCTACACATAGAAACTGATGATGGTGGAAAACACCGAAACGTATTTTAATTGATAAATAGACAATAAATGACTGAAGCCCAGGAATTGATTTTGATTTGGAGTTAAGAACTATAGTTCTTAATTCATTATTTTAACAGCCCTGCAGAGCCACCTAAAAAGTGATTAATAGAAAGTAGTAAAGTGAAAAGAAGGATACATAAAACATCACTGTGTTTCAATGTCCGGAGGATGACCCCAATCAAAGGGTCGAAACGTCCGCAAAACCGAGGAGAAACTTCCTGTGTTTGATGTGTGCCGTATTAATTAAAATTAACAACATTAAACAAATACGATCACTAAAGCGAAACCTTTCAGTAGAAAGTAAGTTTGACCAAAATTAACAGGACGATAAACAAAAAATTTAAAATATAAAACAGCAAGTAAAAGGCACCATTTGAACGCTTCCTCCCAAAATACAGCGAAACGCCAAAATGCGGACTATTTTCTTTGCACAGAGAAAACATTTTGTATGTAAAATTGTTCTTGTGTCTGGTAACAATATGCTCTTGCTCATTTTGCTACTGAGAAATGAGCAAAAACGGGACGCAAAACATGAAATTTTGCCATAATCTTGCACGATAGTCTGATATTCAAATTTCGCTTTCTGGGTCAAAATTGCTCGACTTTTCATAACATGTTATGGCTGAATCGCATTTTCTACTCCCTATCCAACGATGCCAAAACGAAAACTTTCTGTGGCTCAAATGGCTTTTGCAAAACTTGCGCAAAAAGAAGCGTCACGTTTCTTGCAACTCAAAAAAAACACTCAATTCTAAAACTTCTTAAAATCAAGACTTTTTTGAGAAAACTGCCAACATTTCCTCCTTCCGAGAAATGAGCAAAAACGAGGCGGAAACATGAAATTTTGGCATGATCTTGCTGGCTGCTTGCGGTTTTTTTCTGTAGTTTTCAATACTTCTCCCAACTCCATGTTGAGCCATTTAATTTTAACGTTTCGTATGGCTACGATCGAAGCTGTCGGTCTTTTGTAGATATTTTCGATTGAAATGCAATTACAGTTTTGTTAGTTCGATCACCCTCGTGTTCGTTGATTTATTGTTCGCACTTAAATATTCCCGGACGGTTCTCTATGTAATGTTACGGCAACGGTGACATCATGTTATTTAAATATTCAAATGCTGATTCGAGGTGTAGACACTAAATGAGTGACAAATTGTTTCTCTTTCCCACTTGCACCACAGAGCGGCTTCTTTGTTCCAATTAACTAGTCTTCATCTAGTCTTCATCAAGCAAGTTACTTGTATTATTTCTATTACGACTGGAAAATTCAACTAAATCAGAAATGTTCCCACCCAATTGTTACAGTTGATTATTATCACTTGGTACTAGCAGAAATCAAACCTGAAAACCATTCTTAATTTTTGATAAATAATTATAAAAAATGTATTGTGATTTCACTATGGCAAAAAGGACTAAAATACGCGTATGACCGGGCTATTTCTGAGGCATTTTTAAGATGAAAGGTCCATATAGACTTCGTAAGGCTTTAATTATCGCGCTACAGGCTGTTAAAATATTTATTTTAAGTAAGTCATAGGTAGTATCGATATTTGAATAATACTTGGTATTTAGGGTTTTGAAACCTTGGGACACTTACATTTGATTTTTGATCTGTATTTACATGTAGAGGACGCTTTCTGCATGTCTTTTTCTCTTTGAATGTGTGTCTGTATCACTTTGTTTAGCAGAAAACAATGTCGCTATCATTTTAGCGTAAAAAACAACCGTTTTAGAGATATTTGGGTTGAGGGTGAAAATGAGAGAAAAACATGTAGGTAGCGCCCTCCATATGTAACAGCAGATCCAATCAATTCGCGTTTCTCATGCTGCAAGACCCCCAAAGACCAACCTTCGCCCAATTATCAATACTATTTCAAAATTTACCAAGAAGAAACGAAAATCAAAGCTATTTTTGGCCTTATCCATAATATTTTTTTCCTCCAGGGGCAAAGGCCAGTTTCAGTTCAGTCGCACATTATGTGCGACTCCTTTACACTTTAATTATAATTTTCCAAGAGCAAAACCTAACACAAAMATAATGGGAATTTCGAAATTCTAATCGCTCACTTCTATGGGCCATTTAGTCTATCGGCGTGTTGTCTAGTAAGGCTTTTTCGCTATCCATCGACTATTCTGGGTAAAGTCATCCACCCAGCAATTTGCAGCTATCTGCAAGACACATCAAAATTGTCCCTGGCCCGATCACGTAGAAGACTGAATATAATTTACGGAATTGCCCAGACCGAGTGGTCAATTTCCATCGAACAAACACGTTTCGCAAATTTTAAATGGACGTTTTTAGCGGTGCATCGATCAGATATCGCAGTACGTAACCAGACCAATAAAATGCAAACGATCTTTTTATGATACTGACTGATAAAATTCGCGAATAAAACGGCCGTGAAACGGTGGGTGGACGAAATTAACCTGATTTTATGATCAAAAATGGCTATTAAAATATGTAGGAAACTGCTGAAATGGTCGACCAGCGAAAGAACCATTATTGTAAATATCCTGTCAAATTCCAGAAATGTGGTATAGTGAGATTGTTAAATTGTCACTAGGCATATCTTTCTTCAGTGGATTTTGGTGTTAAAAACAGCTTTTATGTTGTATGTCAACTCTAATAAAATAGCAAATGGAAGATCAGAAGATCAAAGGCTAAAGCCACTGCCAATAATTATACAACAGCGACTACATAAGTTGTTAGAAGAAGAAAATGTTTTCTATAAACTTGTTGTTTATAATAGTAATTCGTCCATTAGTAACTGGCAAATGTCACACATTCGAAATGACGAAAATTGAATTTTTACAGCAAAATTAATGCACAGCCATGCAAAAATCTTTAATCATCGCGAAGTAGTTCGAAGGTAAAATCGACAAACATCAGTTAGCAAAACCTTTTTACGCGAGTCCGGTGTGCAAACATTGCTTAGATTACAGACATGTTTTTATTAGTATAATTACATTATCAACTAAACAGTATGCATGCAATGACGCTGCCAAATTTTATTGAGTCTAGACTGCTAAACAGACAAACAACATGATAGTCTGTGACTGCTTTCGATCAGTGTACATTTCATTTGTACGAAACACGATTACTTTTTATGTATAATTGTTACATACAATGCGAGAGTAGTAGTAAACATCTTTATTTCTAAAAAAGGCTATCGACCTATCGGTCTTTCTGCCCTTGTTTAATACATGCAGTCTTAATCTAGATAAAAA